ATACTTACATGTATTGTGGACACATATTCAGCATGCACAATTTTTCACACAAACATATAAGAAACTTTTAAGAAATGGTCCCATGCTACATAATTTTAGAGTGAAGGTTCTTTATTACAAAGCATGTAAAACTTTGCTGGCTTTCTGTATACTGGCCTGAAATTGAAAGCGTGCAATATACAATTTATATTATTCTTATAGCTTTGGACGGGAGGTATAACTTTATTCGCAATATGTTTTGGAAGAGATTGACAATACTACTTAGAAACTTATGACCTTTCTGCAAAATTTAAAATTGTTTTTCACACTTCCAATACCAACTTCTTCATTTGGTAGAAATATGTTTAGAGAATCCAGATTGAATTGTAAGGTGTTACAAACCATCTGTTTTCATTTCATTATATACCTTTCTTCAGAAGGGAAACAGATGAAATTGGACATTGGCTTTAAACTATGGAGTTTGTATTTGGTGATGTTTTCCATTTCTTAGGGAAAGTATCTGAGAACATGTTATTTTTTATTTATCTTGCCAGAAGGGTGTACTGATGACTAAGGTCCAATACTGTTAAAATAAGACATGAGGTATTGATTATTTTTTAAAAAAAATTAAGCTTTTGTTTTGCTTCTGTTTATAGCATTTTAGAGGCTATTGGCAATATTGCATTTCCCAGGAAACATTCATTATCAGAAGCATCCTCTTTTTGCATAATCCTCTGATAAAAGAATCCTCTAAAATAGCAGTAGACTTATATACTGCTTCATAGGGCTTTCAGCCCTCTCTAAGCGGTTTACAGAGAGTCAGCATATTGCCCCCAACAATCTGGGTCCTCATTTTACCCACCTCGGAAGGATGGAAGGCTGAGTCAACCCTGAGCCGGTGGGATTTGAACCACTGAACTGCTGATCTAGCAGTAGCCTGCAGTGCTGCATTTAACCACTGCGCCACCTTGGCTCTTAAAGCCGAAGGTTGGTGCTTCCATTGCACAGACAAGACACTGGTTAAAACAAAGACAGCTAAATGCAAGGCATCAGGCTTGATAGCTGTTCTTTGGTCTCTTGCCAGGTTTAATAGTAGAGCTCTGAATGTATTTAGCAGTAAGTCCAAGTGGCTAGAGGGAACACTTTTCTGAGTGGCTGGAGAAACTCCGGGGATAAATAAAGACAAGGATAAAGAGAATGGAACAAAGCTGGCAGTTGTGAGCATTAAAAAAATAGCTTGGCTTCAGTTATTGGTACTTCTCACATTGAATGAGATGTATTTATGGCCAGTTTCCAGCTTCTTTTCTTTCTTAAGTCTCTCTGAGTTCAGTGAGATGTACTTCTTAGTAGGTTTTTTTTTAAGACTCTAGAGCAGGAGTGTTCAACTTTGGCAACTTTAAAACACATAGACTTCAACTTCCAGAATTTCCCAAAAAGCCAATTCTGGGGGTTGAAGTCCACAAGTCTTAAATTTGTCAAAGTTGGACACCTCTTCTCAAGATTGTGACCTCCCACCAAATAGTGCATAGGGTGAAATTCAGCAGGTTCTGACAGGTTCTGGAGAGCCGGTAGCAGAAATTTTGAGTAGTTTGGAGAACTGGCAAATACCATCTCTGGCTGGCCCCAAAGTGGGGTGGGAATGGAGATTTTGCAATATCCTTCCCCCAGGAGTGGGGAGGGAATGGAGACTTTGCAATATCCTTCTCCAGGAGTGGGAAGGGAATGGAGATTTTGAGGTATCTTTCCCCTGCCACACCCACTAAGCCACACCCATAGAACTGGTAGTAAAAAAAATTGAATTTCACCACTGATTAATAACTTGGGTAGATGATAGGTCTCCTAAATGTGTTCAAGGAATCTTTTTATTTTTGATGTCAACATGGGCTGAAAAGCGATATGAGAATTTTTTTTTCTTCATGAATTCCTGCAACATAAACAACAACATCCAGAGATGTTTGCTGTAATTATATAGGAAACTGATCTATTGTCAACATGTACAGTTAATTTCTTTGTTTCGGCAAAAGCAGAATTAAAACAAGAACAGATACATGTGGTCCTTGACTTACAAGTTCATTTAGTGACCATTCAAAGTTACAACGGCATTGAAGAAAGTAATTTAGGACTGTTTTTCAGTTACAACCCTTGCAATATCTCCAGGATCCTGTGATCAAAATTCAGGTGCTTGGTAACTGGTTCATACTTATGACCACTGCAGCATCCCGGGGTCATGTGATCCCTTTTGCCACCTTCTGAGAAGCAAAGTCATTTAATTGCCAGGTTACTAATTTATCAACTGCAGTAATTCACTTAACAACTGTGGCAAGAAATGTTGTAAAATGGGGCAAAACTTACTTAACAACAGAAATGAGCTCAATTGTGGTTGTAAGTTGAGGACTACCTGTATTTGAGGTGATTTGGTAATGATGGAACACTTTTACCCAGGACAGATTTGATAAAATCCTCGTCATGTCAGTGGAGATTAAATTGGACAAAAGACTGATATATTTCTTGGTGACATGTAAATGCTTTTGGTAGGATTTTCTGTAATGAGAAACTTGATTGATGTATGGGTTTGTCTAGCTCTGTTAATGCTGTGCACAAACAGCAGCATTTCATTTCTTTTCTAGATCATCCATTTTTTCTTCCTCTAAGAAATGCTTCTTGGGTTTTCTCCACTTTTATTTCAAGTCCCTGTCCTGCTACTGAGAATGTGGTACGCTGGGTTTTAAATCTTAATCAGTGTTTATTGGTGACAGTTACAGTGTATTCTCCTATATTTACATGAATTATTTGACAATGTGTCAGGTGAGTCAATGAAAGCTTCTTGTTCTGGGTGATGGAAACGCACCTTCTTCATTGAAACTTTTTATTTATAACAAGTGAGATTAAGGTGCTCGATCAAGAGTGAGAAATCCAAGTTTTTGTCATGACTTGGGCACAGAATCAAGCTGGGTGACCTTGGGCCAGTCGCTCTCCCTCAGCCCTAGAAAGAAAGCAAGGACACACATTTCCACAGATTTTGCCTAGATTACCATATTTTTCTGAGTATGAGATGCACCAGAGTATAAGACACACCAAGGTTGTGAAGAGGCAAATTTTTAAAAAAGTAGGTAGGTAGGTAGAGGGATAGAGAGGGAGAGAAAGAAATACAGTAGATAAGTAGAGAGAGAGAGTAGGTAGGTAGGTAGGTAGGTAGGTAGGTAGGTAGGGAGAGAGAGAGAAATACAGTAGGTAGGTAGGGAGAGAGAGAAAGTAGGTAGGTAGGTAGATGGAGGGAGGGAGGGAGAGAGAGAGAGAAATACAGTAGGTAGGGAGAGAGCGTAGGTAGGGAGAGAGAGAGAAATACAGTAGGTAGGTAGGGAGAGAGAGAAAGTAGGTAGGTAGGTAGATGTTTCCAGGTGTATTTATCCATGTGCTGGAGAAGGACAACCTGCAGCACCTAAGTCTTTGTTTCTGCTGGCACAGCACTTGATCCATGTAATTCTCATCAATTACTCTAACTAAAGAGCTTTCTGAAAGGGGGGAAGTTTTTGCACTCTGCAAACCTCCCCAAAACGACTCTTTTTTTTCAAATAAAAGGCAAGAATACCCTTGGGAGGGCTTGCAGAGTGCTCCTGGGGGATGGGGGGGGGCAAAAAAGAGCAAAAAAACACCCATTTTTTGCGAAAACAGGCCGTTTTTTTTTGCCAAATAAAATTGCATGCATAGCGTTATGGAGGCTTATAGAGTGCTGCTGGGGGAGGGGCAAAAAATGAGCCATTTTTTGCTCATTTCTGCCCTCCCCAGCCCCTGAGAGTTCTCTGAAAGCCTTCATAAGGCTAGGTACGGCCATTTTGGTGAAGGGGGTGGGGCTTCGGGAGGCAAAAAAAATGCCGTTTTCGATGTATAAGATGCACCCAGATTTTCAGCCTCTTTTTTTCAGGAAAAAAGATGTGTCTTATACTCCCAAAAATACGGTACTACATAGATTTGTCCAGGTATTCCCCAGGAGTTAGGCCTGATTTGAAGGAGGAAGAAAGAAAAACAAGAGTCCATTGACATCATTATTTTTTTTATTCCAAGCAAGATATGTGAAATATGTTTAAATCCAATGAAATGAAATATTTTTATGGACAGATATCTTCCATATTAAAGGAAACAAACATTATGTTGCCTTGTGCATTGCATTATTCATCTATAGAATATACGTGATAATACTCTAGATATGAATATTAAAAAATAAAAGATTGTTTTAAAAACAAGCAGTATTTCTTAATGCAGTAATTAGCGCATCAGCCATGAATAGAATTAGCAATTAGGATTGTCTGAGATCGGGGCAGAAATCAATTTCAAGCATCCCATATGTGTGAATGTGTTTAGAGAAATAATTGGAAAACCCTATCAACAAAGCTATTAGTTCTCATGGAGAAAATCATGTTTACATGGGAAGGTCTTCTCCAAATTTATGTTAATAGCATAGTTGGCAATATTAAGAGAGCCTGCGTAACCTTTATGTTTTTGTGCTGGCTTCATCACACCCCCAGTACATATAGGTACAAAATCAACTAGAATAAAATGGGATTTGGCTAGTTAGAATTAATTTATACTGATTTGTATTATTGCATTGATTTCTATTTATTTCTGAATTTAAATGCAAAGAGTTCAGAAGGTACACCATTTGAATGTTCATTTAACCTAATCAACATTCTCATGCTAAACATTTCTCCTCAATTTGTACATTACTGTCATTCTACAACAGTAATAATAAATTACCGAATTCCAGAAATAAAGGTTTAGACTTATGCATGCTTACATTTAAAAACAACAACAGCTATTCTTATTTCTGCAGTTTATAAAGCATTTATTTTTCATACTGACCCTTGCAGGGTAAAACATACCAGTGTGAGGGACTTGCTCTAATTCAAAATCATTAAACATTTTTGTCAGTTTATCAATGTTTTTGTTCATGTAACAAATAATAATGTCTTTAAGGAAGTAGAAGCAATTTCTCAGTGGTCTTCTTTAAATTGTTTCTTCTACAGAATCCAGTCTGGCTCCTATCTCAGCACTGGTTGGTTCACCTTAATTCTAGCGATGGATGCCTGCTACAGAATACATGTCTACGGAATGATAAATGACACCTACTGCAAGTAAGATCACAGCACATTATTTTGATGCGTCCACAGATCTAATGCCCTGTCAAAATTTCACGATTCATTTTAATATCATAAACCCGACAAATGCATTAGCCAGCGGCCTCCTAGCAGAACTATATTGACATGGCACTTTATTGACAGTGTATTTAGACCCTCCATGATACTCTGCATTGATTAAATAAAAGTATTTATAAAAATGTAATGTCCAATGTTGCAAAGGCCTTTTAACATCAAAGAACTTTCTGCCAAGTTTGACTGAACTGAGATAATAGGAAAGTATATTTGCTTTCCGCAGTTTTTGTACAGTTGAGAATGTTCAGGTGAGGAAGCACAAATATGTTCTTGAGCAGATTTTGAGCAAACTTTGCAAATTCCCCCATCTTTCACAGTGCCATCACTTGAATAAAGAGGCTGATGTGCAATTATTTCCTACCAGATTAGAAACCTATGATATAAACCATATACGCATTAGGAAGTTCTGTTACAGCAGTAAAAAAGCTCAAGTTCAGAGTTGGCTACACAAATCAGTGCTTTGTGGACATAAAGTGAGATCCAATTTAAGGAAAGTCCAAAAGACAAAAAAAAAATATTGTATCTGTTGTTTACCCTTCTTGGCAAAGCCTCCTTATGTTCCATGAATTAGAAGGTTGCACTCCCAGAGCTTTCTCTGCCAATTAAAAGCGTCAAAAAATAGCAACACAGTTTCCTGTCATTCTGAAGAATGAAGCTTTAAAAAGTTGTTTTGTGATCTCCCCAAAGGCTGAACATTTTTAAAATAATAAAAACAGACACACAAACACCCTTCCCTAATAAGCAGGAACCAAACCTATAAACTCACTTATAAGCCTTGTGTAGCCTAATGAACAAGATGTTATACTGTTTTCATAATTCCCTGTTTAAGGCAGCATTGCTTTCCTTTACTAATTACCTTCTGAGTCTAAAACTATTTTGACATAGTTATATTTATATATATGAGACTCTATTATATTACCTTTAGATTTTGTCTAAATGTAGATTTAGATAATCTAGTATGTGTAAACACAGGCATACACACACTGTGTGTGTATATACATACATAAAATCTAAATGTAATAGATGTATGGTACACACACACACAAACACACACACACACACACATACCTGAATATCCCAAATATATAAAAACTTTATCTGTTTATTGCCATGTTTCAGAGATATTGATTAGATAGACCAAGGGTGTCAAGTCAAGGTCTGGGGCCGGAACTGGCCTGTGGAATGCTTAGATTTAGTCTGTGGGGCTGCCTTGGAAACAGCAAAGGACTGGCCCACAGTGCCTCTGCCAATGAAAACTTGGGAGGGCCACAGGTCTGTTTTCATTGACAGAAGCCAAAAATGGGAGTTTGGGAGCTCATTTTCACTGGCACTCAGGTCAGGTCATCACAGGCGCCCCCAACATGAGTGATGTCAAGCTGGCCACACCTACCTTGGCCACTCCCACCCCAGCCCCCTGAGGTCAAACACAACCCTGATGCGGCATTCAATGAAATCATGTTTGACACTCCTGATGTAGACAGATGATTGATTGATTGATAGATAGATAGATAGATAGATAGATAGATAGATAGATAGATAGATAGATAGATAGATAGATAGATAGATAGATAGATAGATAGATAGATA